TTCAAGAGGCCACGTCACTGACGCCTACAGCTCTCGCTTTGGCTACTGGCAGCAAGATCCCGTCCAGTACTTCCAGAAAGCTAAGGGAAGAGTCTCACATGGCAATGGCAGCGACGGAGTGTGATACGTGTCTGACCACGCCTCGTCCGTGCATCTTCCTACACGGTTTGGGTAACCCAAACGAAGACACCGAACTGCAGGACACGCCAGAGCGGACGAATAAAAAGTTCGGCGATATTCGCGGCCACACTCCTTGCTGTTCCGAGATCAAGTACGCTGTCATCAACACTGTTGATGCTGGTTGGAGGAACGACACTCTTCAGCAGAAATTCTGTGACCACGCACTCTCGATGAGTGACACCAGCGACGTCGATGCTGGGATCATTGACAACACAATAATTGTGACACATTCAATGGGTGGACTTGTTATGGCTCACACTCTCGCAAAGGGGAAATGTCGGTTCAGCGAGTCGACCTCGTGGGTGGCACTTAGCTCTCCAATGACAGGCAGTATGGCGCCGGATTATCTCCAGGGCATTTGCACTAGTATGAACAAGAAGGTTGTTGTGGGATTACTCGACTTAATTGGCGAGTGTCCGGTGTTCAAGGCACGTCTATCTACTATCTATCAGGGCGGAAAGTACAGCTCTCCGACCATCGATGCGGCGTATGTAGCTGCTCAAGAAGCATATCGCAGTAATGTGACAGCAGCAATGTGCAGTGACAGCTATAGCGGTCTTTTTTCAATGTACCAAGTTCCAAGTATCTTGGGAGGACAGCTGATTCCACACAGGTCAAAGAAAAACGACGCTCTCGTCGAGTTTCAGAGCTGTTTGGGTGGTCTTGACGAAAACCGATTCGGTAATCACTACTTGGATCGGTTCTATAGACCACAGCTGAATCACGCAGACACTGCGTTTCTGACTGGAGATGGCCTGTTTAAGGACTCGCAGAAACCCAAGAAATGGTTCGAGTGCCTTGAATTGTAGTCAGTAACAGTTCAATTTCGATCAAGTCTCAGCGTTTCTAAGCCTTCGTTGTCTGTGATATCAAGTATTTTAGAAGCAACAGCTCGATATTGGCCGTATTGATCACTGGTACTTCGCTACAGAATGCGATGCTCATTCTATACTTTTGTTGGTCTACAACAAACATTCGAACCATTTATTGGGTTTTTGGGAATCCTTGAGCCATCCGTCGCTAGTCTAGAAAACCGTGCCTGCGTGATTTAACTCCGGTTTGTAGAACGTATCCTTGTAACTTTTGCCGAACTTGGAGGTATCCAGACCTTTAGAACAACTCTGAAACTCCACAAGAGCATCGTTCTGAGGTGACTTGTGTGGAATAACACTAGCAGCCAGGAGCATCATTGACTGGTACATGGAGAAAATGCCTTTCGGGTTGTCACTACACATTGCAGCGTCAACGTTCTCCCGGTAAGCTTTCTGAGCTTTGAGGTACGTTGCGTTGAGCTTCTTGGACGTGTATTTTCCGTTCTCGTACATGATCGATTTTGCATGCAAGTTGCTCTTGTGTATCCCACACAATATGTGATCAACAGGTGTTTTTTGTCATCTACGGTACTTGGCCTTTCCAAGTACGTGCTGCGCCCGGGAAGCTCTCGATATTTGGATACTCCATATTTAATAATATAATATTTGTCAATACGAAGAAACTGAAGCGCGAATAAGGATGGGCCCCACTTCGCCAGCGACATTGGGACTTTTTACTTTTCTTAGTTGAGAATTTGATGTTTGCCGTCTCTAAATCAATTTCAAAAACGTATCCCAGTGTTAATTTCGTATTGAGTACATGTGCTGCATCGAGATGCATTTATATCTGAAGCTGGTCGCATGACATTTGTGTGGTTGTATTTACTAGCTGCTCCGTCGTTCTAGTGGCTTCAATCCCTAAGTTGAA